AACATCAAACTGTATAGATAGCGTATAATGGAAATGTTTCAAGTCTACTTTGAGAAAGTAGATTTTAATTAAAAGTCAGCACAAAGTCGGCAGTGCAGGTAGTGTTGAGCAAAATGGCCACACTAAATAGTGGGAGTCGAGGTTTACACATACATCTTTAATAAAAAAAAACATTTTACTAGAATGAAAGGAAGTAGACAGAAAAATGAAAGAGGTTCATGGTCAAACTGTTTGCCCTGATGCATATAGTAAACACTGTTAATTACCCTGGATAGCCTGTGATTAGTTAGCATGCAATGATTTGGGTATGAAATATGGATCTTGTAAATGTCTGTTCACACACACACACAGGATCTCCATGGAAGAGAGCACAAAGCAAAAGTAGGCTGGATATTTTTGGTACAAGTGCCTTTTATCCCATAATTAGAAAGTGTCTTGGCAGGAGAGTCATGTGACATTGCAGGTGTCAAATTTATTTTTTGCCTTCAGAATAGTTCTTCTGTTTATAGATCTGGCATCACTGATTGTGTGAAACTAATTTATTTGCTGTTTTCTTCCTCTATTTGCAGTTCTGTTTTTATGTGTGTGTTGTGTTTCAGTGTTTCCAACTCTGCAATCACCCCTCACCTTCTGTTTCTTCTGCTCCCACTTCATACTCAGGCATTGGTCAGGGTGTGCCAGTGGTGGCTCTCATCGTGGAGGGAGGCCCTAATGTGATTTCTATAGTGCTGGAGTACCTCAGGGACACTCCTCCAGTTCCTGTTGTGGTGTGTGATGGCAGTGGAAGAGCCTCAGACATCCTGGCATTTGGACATAAATACTCAGAGGAAGGAGGGTATGAACTGCATGTGTGCACATGATTGTCAACAAGTTCTTTAAAACCACAAAATCAGTCAATATTTTAGTTTATTTATTATCTTATTATTATCTTCTAATGACTTGATAGCCACTCTTTGTGAATGGTATCTTTAAAACAAAATATTGAGTTTATACTGATTTATTCCGGGTTTTAGTGCTTAGCTTGTGCATTTAAAGATGGAGGTATTTATTTCAATATTCACACACACCGGTTACTCAGGAGTGGTATCTTCGCAACATTTAGTAAACCTTTGTTAGTGTTCTTGTTTTTCTGTAATTGTCAGTTTGACCCATTCCTAACATGCTTTCCCCCCATGTCTTTCTGCCTCTGAAGCATCATTAATGAGTCTCTAAGAGACCAGTTGCTGGTGACCATCCAGAAGACATTCACCTACAGCCGGACGCAGGCTCAGCATCTGTTCATCATTCTCATGGAGTGCATGAAGAAGAAGGAGCTGGTTAGTTATTTCAACACATTTACAGAAAGCAACTCATAATACCCACAGTGACAGCAACTTTTCACACATGTATTCACGCTTATGCAAGAAAGCAAGTTTAATGACCTATATTTAAACTGAATTTTAAACATCTGGCAAACTCTGAGATGAACAGATCTATTTAAGCCACAAATGTCACTCAATTATTCAGTCACTGCCTCTAAAAACGTGTGAGGGTGGAACAATCTTTTTCAAGGGAAGCTTTTTCATCATGAAACTCGAAGTGAAGCAGTTATTACTCCATCTTTTATGTATGACATGTAATGTTAAACAGATGTAAATGTATTCAGAAAGCATCTGGGATTAACTGGCCTCCACTTTGTATCCCTTTGGCTGTGTTTTAGTCAGGTCAAATGTCCTGTCAAGCAACAGTCAAATGGGTTCTTCTCGTGGAGTGTAGTATTTTTTTATTTTATTTTTTACTGTCACTGTAACATATGTGCGTGCTTGCATGCATGTGCACAAGTTTTTTTTTTTTTTACTTGTGTAAAAAAACAAACAACAAGCCCATAATATTATTCAGACCTTACACATGTACCTGAAAGACAGTACACAATACTGGATGTAAGAATAGCTTTGGTGGGTTAGAAATTAAGTTTCTCTTTGCAATGAGATGTTTGCAACCACTGGTCCACACAGGTAGACCAGTGTTTTATATGGATTAACCTGAAAAGCTGAACGCATTGGAATAGATTGCATTTCAAAGAAGGATTTTCAAAGAAATTAGGTTTTGATGAATGACAGTACCAATGGTTGTGGATGTTGGTAGGCAGCACGTCCTCTCTCTGGCAAAACCTGTACACTATCAGTACTCATTAAAAATCAGTTCTGTGCAAATTATAATTACAAACACATATGTGGTGTCAACTTCCAATCTGGTGTGAGGTTTGAACTCCAGACAAGATTGGTGGCCCGTGACCCACACCTCACCCTATTAGTCAAGAGATAATACCATCTCAAATTAGTTCTAAGGACTTGCACACAAACGAGGGCATCACAAAAAAGCTGAAATACATTCTTTGATGCTACATTTATCACTAGAGGTATATGATTTCTTTTTTTTTTTCAATGAACCAATTCCAATTTATTGTGATTCAAGATTTTTTCAGGCCATTCTAGCTTGTGTCGCAGAGTTCTCACAACTAAAGGGCTGGGGAAATTAATGAAATATGATGTTTAAGTGCAAAACAATTTAACATAACATTGCTCATAATTGGAGAATAGTGCTTTCCAGGAGGGACAACAAAACTGTATATTTTTCAAGCCTGAAATAGATTGTGATATTGTACGAATAAGCATTTTTGTTAACACAGGATAATACTGCAAAGCTATCTGTATGATACAGTCAAAATACCATTGGAAATCATACACCATCTTGAAGTATAAATAGTAAGAAAGTGAAGACTTTTAGTGATCATCTCCTCCAATTGTGGCTATGTAATTACAAGAATTTAATCTCACTGATTCACAAACAAAACATAGACACTGTGCGCACACACAGGAGAACACAGTATTTGGTGGGCAGCCCGGCTGTGGTCTTGGATTGATTTCCCCCTCTGTGGGATTTCTGGAGTTGACTGATGCTCACACTGATGGAGCTGCTGAACAACAAACATGAGAACAGCAGAACAAAAGGTGTGAATCACTGAGCAGGAACACCTGTAAAGCTCAGATTACTGAGGCTGCCTCTTCTGTAAAGTGTTACCACTGGCATGTTGAAGGTGAGAACTGAAAATTTTATTTTTACACTATAGGCTCACAACTTTGTATCAAGAGATGAGCAAACACTACTTATGTCTTCTCTGCTTTTTAAAACTGCAAACATTACCCATGAAATCATATATTTACATTTGCTTTTTCCGTAATAGTATACAGATTTTTCTCAAATATAGCTCCTGCAACAGAAGCTTTTTTGTACAACTATATGGACCTTTATTTTTTCATAACGATTACAAATGTCTTATTAATTGAAGATATTAGAGTTGCGCAGGAAAAGGATGTTTATCTACCTTTCCATTTGTAATACCGTTCTTGTTTGAATTCTTTTATTTTGGCTGCTTCTCATCCTGGACACTATGTCAGAAATATGAGTACGCTGGCTGTATGTGTGTGGAATTGAAAGGGAGATACATTCATGCATTCAAATGTTGGTAAATATGGGAAAGTATTTCCACTGCTGCATGATTATGGAGGCCATTATAAGTTATAAGGTCTTCTTCCAGCATATTGCACTCAAGGTTAGGTAAGTGTGTAACTGGTGTTTAAGTTTAATGTTAAACCCTCTTTTTGTAAGTTGCTTTGGAAGAAAGCCTCTGCTAAATGCACCAATGTAAATGTAAGGTTTAAACTTAATGGTAGAGAAATTCACTGTAATTTGTGGGCTGGTTTGATTCACAGAGCCTGAAAGTCTATTCATTTATAGTTATCATTATTATTTGTTGATCATACTATGGGCTGCAGGTAATTGCCATTTGTACATCATACATCAAATATTGTTATCTTAATTTTCTCATACATATAATCCATCTTCCTTTAAGGCGTTGCATTCTTCTATTGTTCGCAAAGAGAAAAATATATAAATTGTACTATTCTTAATGAAAACATTGTTTTGCTGTGGACTTTGCAAGGCAACGCATTAGGAATCTGAGAAGTATTCTCACATCTAGAAACAATATTCCCAATTAATGAAGTGCTTATTTAGGGTGTGTGCTCTTTTCTGCCATGCTATCGGATATATTATAACACATACCACATCTCTTTCATTTGTTACTCCATGATGAGGGTAATTATCTCTATAACATACAGTATGTCAATGTTCTGTTTTAGATCCTGTTCACAAAGAAATGGCAAGTTTAGAGGCTGCATGGAAATTGGTGCTTTTCAGTGTAACCATAATATGTTAGCAATGCTAAAAGCACCTCAATACAATTCCTTTTTAAAAAGAAATTAGTTGTGACTATTCTTCCCGACCGCTTCTCCTCTTTGAACTGGTGGCACATGATAAATGTCTTGGCAGCTCAAAGCTTAGTATAAATAATTAAGCGTAGACTCGTACTTATATGTTTAATTTGGATTAAATATTGAGGAGGAACCACCACCCCACTGTGTTCCTCCACCTCTCTGACAAGAGAAACTCGGAAGCAATGAGCAGAGGATAGTAAGACAGTGACTAATTACAACCATTGGAAAGAAGAATGTAGCAAAATTGGGATAAGTGTTAGGCAAATGGAAAAATGTATACAGCAAGGGAACCACAAACAGAGATAGAAGAAAGGAAATGGTTAATTAACAAGCAGGGAAGTACTACAGTTGAAATATTTCCCTTTTCCTCTTTTCTGTTTGTTGTGAAAATCCTTTCCTCAACGATGATTAAAAAATATTCGATACATTGAATACAAATTTTTTTTTTTGGTTAGCTTATCTAGTCATGTCCAGGCTGCACAAAATGTTTTGTGGAACTCAACAAACTACACACACCTGTGAGTACAAGTGTGGGTTTGCCATTAGTCTTAATATGAACATGCGCCCACATTAGCAGGGTCTGTGCCTATTAAATGAAGATGAATGTTTTGTAATGAGCTTATTTCACTGGAGTGTGAAGTGCAGCTTTCCATTGATTTGAGCCTATACTTTAATGCCTCTAAAGAACTGGGACTCCTTTGACAAAATCCTGTTAGACTGTAAAAGATGAGACAGCCTTTTCATCTTGTTGTCATTTGTTCATCATCACAATGTCAACACTAAATTTTGTCAGTATATCGTTCCATTCTTCTTCTCTTTTTCCATTTCTCTGCCCTAAATGGAACTAAAATGCACGGGACGGAAATAACAAACACACACACACACATATTTAAGGAGCCTTGTCCTGTCCCCCATTGTTCAAAACTGGTTAACTACCGGGGAGCACCTTGCTTTGGACATGATATAAATACACAAAGCAGTTGTCTGTTTTTCTTTTTCTCTCACTTCTTGATGACTCTGTGGGAGTGTTGGGATTGAATCAGCACCATTGCAATGTCACAGAGGATATCCTGCACAGTTTTCCAGTTGTGCAATGTGTGTAATACAGTCCATCTGTTAGAATAAGTGAGATTTATCCAAAGTAATGTTAAGGGGGTATTTAGAGAAAAACAAGGATGTCGAAGGGGAACTTTGAAGAGATGGCTGGTTAGGGAAGCCAATATTTTTTTATATAAAAAGAATACAAAATAAATCAGCTGTTACTTCATTGTTTCTTATGATAAATTATAAAAACAAAATTATTTTTAGATGTTTAGAATTTGCACCATAATTAATTCTAGTCCTGAAGGAAGTCAAGATTCATGTTGTGTGTTTGTGCATGTTTGTGCGGGCAAGGGGGATGTGCTTATTGGGAACTCCCCTTTCTGCTATAAAATAGTCAGAACCACAAGGAGAAATTTACAAATGTCTGTCCATCTATCCATTTTCTACACTCTTAACCCTCTATACCCATGTTGAAAGGTAAAAGGATGCTTGAGCCTATCGCAACTGCCATTGGATGAGAGGCAGGTTACACCACGGGGGGGTCACCAGTCAATCACAGACACACGTGCACACACATGCTCAATATAGAATTTGGATGGTGGGAGGAAACCTGAGAGAACTAACGTGATACTGTGCAAAACAGAGTTATGTATCGATTGGGTCAGATTAGACATGCATAAATGAGAAATCCTCAAAAATCTTAAATGGTTACTGACACTTTTATTTCGCTTTGGATGCATGGATTTTTTTGAGTCTTTAACTTTCACTAAAAGTGTTGAGTAGAATGCTCTCTAAATGTGATGATCACATCTGTAAATGCACACAGACACGATGCAAAGCGACCTAACTCAGAGAAGCAATTGAAATTACACACTGAGCTAACAACTCATTGGTGTCTCCGCTCAGGAGAATTGCAATCAATTCTTTCACATTTCATTGCACTCCTATTTCACCTGGACAAAATACCCTTTGATTAGACAGCCAAATGAACACCCCAGGCACATGGATAAAGACATGCTTACAATCTGCCTCTATAGTGACTCATTTGACAACACAAACTGTAACACGGACTTTCACACAAAGTCACACAGCTCATTTTTTTTGGAAACAAGTCATCAGCTCAAAGGGAGAAAATGAGAAATGATTTAGTCATCACTGTGGACTGATTTAGTTTTAGTCTTTTTTTAAATCTTGTGTGAGGAGAGACCATTTGAGGGAGAAAGAAGGGGGGTAACCCTCTACACTGCAGCAACAAAGCCTGCAGATTCCTGTGGATCCACAAAATGCAGTCATTTAGAGGAAGGGAGAGCTGGGCTGCAGTGGCGGAGGCAGGGGGAATGGGTGGATGTTGGGATTAGAGTAATAACTCATCAGGCATTCAGAACACACATTCCCCCACACACAACCCCAAGAAGGTGCCCTTCACACTTCCATACATGCAAACACGTGTGCTCTGACATGCGTGCAGTGCACCTGTACTGTATATGTGTGCAGCTTGCTACTGTTATAATGATTCACAAAATCCAGAGTCTTTATCTTTCATTCCTTACTTAAATCTTCACTAGAGCCTAATCCAAAGATCTCATTTCTTTTTTTTGTCTTATTGTGGTTTTTCTTTGTTTCCTTTTTACCAAATATTCCTGCATCCCTCCCCACAGTAAATGCGCTGTTTTTTTACTTGTGCGGTGTGCATCGCTCTGGAGATGAGGGCAGAGGACAGCCCAACGGGGGGAAATCGAGCACAGTACTCAGAGAAATTCCACTCATCCCTTAGCAGCCATTTTTTGAGTGAAGCAGTTTAATTCAGCAAATAAAAGCGTTCAAGCTTGGGATGTGACTGAAAAGCCCCTTTTTAGCAGCTCTCCATGTTTCAATAGCGCAAACTCTCTTCTGTTCCTCCTAGTCTCTCATTATCTCAATTTCTGTCCCTTTTATTTGTCCTTTTTCTCTTAGATAACTGTTTTCCGGATGGGCTCTGAAGGTCATCAGGACATTGACCTTGCCATCCTCACTGCATTACTCAAAGGTGTGTATAAATGAATGACTCCGTCTCTCTGGAGCTCTTGATCATTGCTGTCATTTTGAAGTGTCTGGAAATGTTTGCTCTGTGTGTGTTCAGTAAATTCAAGGTTTTGTGTTTGTGGTTCCCGGTTAAGAAGGAAATCCTTAAGATCCTGGAAAATGTCAAAGCTGAACCTCTCACTTATTGAAAGAGAACGCAAAATAGATGTCTTGATTTTTGCACAACTCACCAAAGTTAACTATTTCTGATATCTGACCTTTTTCTGCTCAGAGTTCAATTACTTCAGGTTCTGCAGAAAATAAATAATGCTGTACAGATCAGGAGGTATCTGTTGTGTTTCCTTTTCTTGCCTTTGGACAGTCATAGTAGCCCATTTTTAGTCGTCTCAGATTAGTTGTACCAGAATTCCCTGCTTTACCTTTGGTAACCATCATTTTCAATAACACCAATTTCACAAGGATTCTCAATTAATTTTTCCAGAGCAAACAATGCAGTTTCTTGTGAATCATTAACAATAACAGTTGTTACCTGTTGCCCCATCTAAAGTTTGAAAGCTACATGCTGGTCATTTAGAAAAGTGCAGATTAAGTCCTATTTGCCTAAATTGTTCATACTGTGTCTATTGGAAACAAAATCCTTTATATTAATTTGATCAAATGACATCAATAACATTGATCTATCTAACACACCACCAGGGTACAGAGTCCAGGTACGGCACAGTGAAATACAATTGATGACACACTGATAATCCAAAACATTGCAACCACTTCCTCTTCAGTGGTCAGTGTGTAGATATGTGTTAGACCAGCTGAAACTTGAATTTTTAAACACTTTTAAAGGTACACAACGATATCTGGAGCCTGAATATTTACACCTATAGGATGAAAGGTACACCCCCCATGAGTCCCAGTTTAAGGTACAGAAAACACCATACCACTGGTTCATGGTTTGTCCCTTTTTGGACATTCGGAAGGTGGCTTTATTCCTGTTGATCAGAATTTTCTTAGTTTTTTAGCATCTACGCATTTCTTTCCATCCAAGGTATTGACTGTAACTGCTTATAATGATTTGGCTAACTTTGTGTTCAGGCAGAAGATTATGATACATATGCTGGAAAATGATGTATTTGTTCACCAATAAAGTCAATGAAGGGAAACAAAAATTAATCAACATGGGCCACAAAGGAGAATTGAATTAAATCTATAATCCTCCCAACTTCACTGTTTTCCATATCCACGCATTGACACATAAACACACTTACAATCACACACCAGACAGAGGGTTACTATTGATTGCTGTTCAATAGCTTGTATCGACCTTGGTTCCTCCTGCAGCTGTGGGGAATAAAGCTCAATCCCCTTCACACAGACTTCTATACGACGAGAAACAGAGTGTAAAAACTTCTGCTTATGTGCAAAGGAGCAAGTCCTGTGGGGCTACTTAGCAATTCAGAGCTCATGACTGATTATCATAGGAGTTGCTCAGGAACTGCTTCGCAGAGAAATAGTTATTGGCTCAAACAGGGAAGAAGAGACAAAGTACAGTTTAGAGAGGGGAAAGACAGAGAGAAATGTGTTTACAGAAATGACTGCATAACAGTGATAGCCCATGATTTGACTAATGCATCTCTCTCTGAGCGTGGCTTCATCTCAGACTTATAAGCTCTCCCTCTTTCACACTGGATGTACTGTACACACACTTCTCTGCTCTCTTATTATCCTTTCTTCTTTATTCATTTTTCCACATTGTGACAGGAATGACATTTGACCGAATGAATAAAGAAGGATCAAAGGGGAACAGTAAATGGAATGATAAAGACTAAAAGTGAGAAAGTAAAGATGAAGAACAAATCATAGAAAAGCATGAAAATGACTTAGTGGTCAATTGCATGACGGTCATTTACATAGAAGTCTCTCTCTGCAGCATGAGTGTCAGCGAGATGTGTTAAGCATTTAAGGGTAAAATGAAAACGGTCACATACTGTCTGAGTCCATTTTAAAACACTGGATTAGATTTCTTCTCTGAAGAACTAAGCTGCAGCCTGAAGCTTAACCGAGCACAACTCTGTCAGAAGGAAGCGGTGAGGAGGGAAAAGAGAATAAAAAAATACAGTCATTCTGATACTGTAAGGGAGAAAAGAGGGAAAAGGAGATAAAGACAAGTGGGGAAAAGACGGAGAAAAGGCGAATCAGCAGTTTACAATCAAACTGAGTCAATTTGGGACTAATTGATGACCTGCTCTCTGAAATTGTCGATATCCTGGGAATTGGATACATGAAGTCAGATGGTTGCAGTTCAACCCATTTGTACAATCTGACTAAATTAAGCCACAGGTCTTGTGATAAAGATCCACAGCCACTTTCACTTTTAATATACATATATATCCACTTAAGCTCTTATTAGTGGGAACTGCATCTTATTAGCAGGGCTCTGTCTAAACTTTTACCGTTAAGCTCCAGTAATTCAGACTTTTGAGCCTCACAGAGCCTCATGGATAATGATAATGTCAGAGTTCTTACACAAAATTACACAATCTTTCTGAATTATCATGGTACTTTGCATTTCAGTGAATTATTTTCAAATGATACCCTCTTCTTGCTCATTAGTCTCATAACTCGTTTTGAATATCTGCAGTGCAGAAAATCTGGTCAACAACATGAAACTTGAAGATTTAAATTCATAATTGTATACACTAAAAAAATGACTTTTATTAGCATTCATCATGTGTTTCTCTTATTTTTGTCTTTTGTTTATAAAGGGGCTCTCAGTAGTTTGGACTCCTCAGATCAAAATGAGTGTGACTATGAATTTGCTTTATTTGTTCTTCAGTTTTTGTACTGTTGCACATTTTCAACAGATTTTGTGTATTACAATTGTTCATGGCGTAATCCTAAAGTTTGGAACAGGGCATCAGCTTGTCACAGCTATGCCTGAGATATTCATTAGAAAAGACTCTGTAAACGAAAATGCAAATGCTCTGTAAATAGTCTGATTCTTCACACTCTATGCAGCCATGGCTCCGCCGAACAGATGCCTGGCACTCTGTGACATTAACAATTGATGATCACAAACCTTGAGAAAGCGGAGAGAGGACAGCAGCTTTTCTTTTTCTCGTTTTTTTCTTCGGAAACTGTTTGATCAGTGTGAAATGTGATTATGAGATAACAATTAAAATGTCATGTTCAAGTTTGGAATATCCAGAAACATTTTGAAAGAAAATGCTCATAGGACCGCTACAAAGACAGATCAGGAGCCATAACTATTAAAGACTTCAAGAGGATTAATCAGACTCTAGAGTGGTGGTGCCCTTCTCTGCTGTACCCTATCACCAGCACAAATTCCATCTTCATGGGAGGGTCATTAAAAGAAAAGCTTTC